TAGTGAGACATAGTTAGCTCCTTGGGGGATGCTGCCCTCCAAAAGTACCAATGCTAGTCACATGGACTGAGTTCCTGAGCCAGGCAGCTATTATGAAAAACATAGGCCATGTGCTCATCCCTTCTCTTAGTGGCCCTGCCATGATGTCATCCATCACGACATGGTGCAGCCCGAGGAGCACTAGCAAGAGATGCTGCCATGCTGTCGAACTTTCAGGCTTCAAGACTGTGAGCTATGTAAAAGTTGTTCCTTAATAAAGTGTGCAGAGTTAGAGATTTCATTATAGTGACAGAAACAGGAATAATATATGAGGTACCTAAAATAGTCAAAATCAGCAAGGTGAAGAATAGAGTGGTGGTTTCCAGTGGCTGGGGGGGGATGGGAAATGGGAGTGGTTAATCCCCGGGTACAAAATTTCAGTTATACAAGATGAATAAATTCTAGAGCTCTGCTGTACAATACTACCTTCAGATAACAATGCCCTATTTATACTTAAAATCTATTAAGAGGGCAGAGCACCTTTTAACTGTTTTCATCACAATAAATTCTTTTAAAATAAAAAATAATAAAGAACTTGCTAAGCCAGGTTATGATAGTGCACACCTATAATCCCAACATTTAGGAGGCTGAGGCAGGAGGATCATGAGTTTGAGGCCAAGGTGGGCTATATAGTAAGATTTTGCCCTAAAAGTAAATTTTTAAAAAGCTTACTAAGCAGGCAGGAGCTGTAAACAGCAGGGCAGGGAGACATACAGTTTTAGTTGACCAATAAAACCCTTCAATCACTTTGAAACCGTCTTGGCAGAAAGGATTTGTTCGTAAGCAATAAAAGGGCTCACTGAAAATTGTCTTTCTCCATCCTTCCAAGGACCTCTGAGTGGCACGTATTTATTTATGGCAAAATTGAAATCAATTCCATAAAGATCTCCTGGGCTTCCACTGCATAGCAGGTGTTGAGTTATGGGCTGAGAACGCCCAGGTGCGGGTACAGGATAGCATCTGCTCTGAAGTGAAGTGGGTGGTCAGGGACGGGGCGAGAGATCCCAATATTGACTTTGCCGGCTGCATGGCTGTGAGCAGGTTATGTGACCACTCTGCTTTCTTCTAGAAAATGGAGACAATAATCTGCAGGGTATTGTACAAATTAAAAGAGAAAAGAATGTCCAAAGTGATTTGCACAGTGTCTGCCACACAGTGAGATGCGCTAATATTGTTACTAAACACAGCATCAGGCAACATGGAAAAATGCAACAAGGATGGGACACAGTGTGTGGTTCTTTAGGATGGGGTTGTCTGGTGCTGAGTTACAAGTCTGGACCGGGGAGTGTCACAGACGTGGTGACTTTGATGGGGTTTGTGAGGAAAGGCCTGGGCCAGGAAGATAGATACAGAGATGACTCAAAGATTTCAAGTTTGAGTAACTGAGAGCATGGTTAAGTCAATTTGGTTAAAATGCCACTAAGTCAGTTCCTTTGGTGAGGAAAGATGTACCTAGGGGACTTGTCTTGGGACGGAGGCTCTGAGACCTGGTGCCCTGTAGACTGACAAGCCTGGGCCCAAACATGAAAATGACCTTTGTGAGCAGGACATTGAGATGGGCCAGTTGTGAGGACTTTGCATCTTCCTCTAGGTTTGTTCGAAATGAGACTCTTCACACACAGATGGCCAGCGAGTCTGTGTTTGAGTTGGCCAGGAAGGAAAGTGGGGCACAGGCTGTGGGTGTGAGGAGGGTACAGAGCAGGGGCAGGAGCTGGTGGTCCATGACCTTGAGAAAAGGCAAGTGGGAGAGTTGAGTTTGGGGGCAGGGCTGCTGCCAGGCTGCACAGGTAGGAAAGGTGGGTCTGGGCCCATGAGCATCTGGATTGGACAAGGAGGGCTTGGGATGCAGTTCTCCTATCTTGTTGGAGTAGCTAGCTCCAGGCAAGATAGTTCTAGTGGACAGCTGGAAATGTGGGCCCAGTGTAGTTCTGAGAGGTAGGTAGGCAGGTTGGGTGCTACAAAGTTGGGGTCAGCCATCTGCACGGCCTCAGGGGAAAAGCCTAAGCTTTCCCAGCAGGGGGTAGGGGGTAGGCAGCAGCGGTGCTTTCAACCCTTCACACTTCATGCACTGGTTCAGCCTGATCTGAGACCACTGGTGAGACCTGGATATGAGTGTGTGTGTGTGTGTGTGTGTGTGTGTGTGTATGTGTGTGCACACACGAGAGAGAGAGAGAGAGAGAGAGAGAGAGAGAGAGAGACAGACAGACAGACAGACAGAAGACAGAGACAGAGACAGAGAGATGAAGCAACTTTAGGAATTCAGATGTCCGTATGAATCTGGAAAGGCTCAGATTCCTACAAGGGGTTGAGAAGATCCCTAGGGCACCTCTTCATGTTCTCATTTTTTCTTAAAGCCTGGTTCTGGAGAAGTTGAGTTCTCTTCTGAAAGGTGCCCTGGATGGTGAGCTTAGGAACTCTAGGGCAACCCTGACGTGGACTGGCTCTGTGTCCTTGGAGAGGGCTCTCAGCTCTTATCTCCTTTAAGATCAGGCAAGTGCTGAGACTCTAAGCCTATTGGCCTGGAAGATGCCCAGCTCTCAGAGTCAAGCGGCAGTTCCCTCAAAGGACTTCTCTGAGCCTTTCCTAACCTAAGTGGCTACTTCTCTGGTGCACAGTTTCTTCTCCATGCCATGTGGTCCTCCCTAAACTCTGTCCCAGAAAAAGGCATGAGCCCCTTTGTAGATGAGGAAAGCTCAGGAGACCAACTTTCCCCCAAGATGGCAGAGCTAAAAACTAGCAGAATCAGGATTTGTATCCAGGCAGGGGTCTGGCCCCAGGATGCTGCCCTAACCGGGGGCTCTTGTTTTTTCTCTTACAAAATGGTGAAAGCTGTATATGATTTATTTATTCCTTCAGTTTACAGAAGCATGGTATGGGTCTGTGCTTATCAAAGCTTAAAGTACCAAGTAAGTGTACATTAGGAAGGGCTGTCTGTTTCTGGCGTACACAGACCTCCTGGCACCTTCCAGATCTCACAACAGAACGTCTGCACCACCTCAGGCAGTGTGAAGTGTCTCAGCCCACTACAGCCCACTTCCTGCTGGGGAAGCAGGTGACAGAAACACGGGGTGGGGTGGTGGTGGTGGTGTCTAGATCATGCACAGGGAAATACTGGGGCAATTCAGGTCATTGCACTTGAATAGTGTTGTTCCCTGTCTTGAGGTGACTTGTCAGGGCACAGGCAAGGATGGGAGAACCTCTTGGCCCCGGGTCAGTGCCTTACCTCCAAACAAAACAAAACAAAACAAAACAAAAAAACTACTTTCCACTCACTGAAAAGGGATGCATAAGGCAAGGCTACCTGCCCTCTTGGTGCTGTTGCTGTGATGTGACCTTCAAGAGGGAACACAGCGAGGAGAGGCTGGGGCTGAATCTGGGAGGCCAGTCTGAATTGAGGCATGTCAGTGAGGAAAACAGGGTTTGCCCACATAGAGTGGCAAAGGCTTGGGGTTTTCAAAGCATCTCAGGGAAACTTGCATGCTCTACTTTTGGCTGGAATGGGCACACTATTGTCCTACAAATGCATGCTTAGAAACACTTGCGAGTATACCCCTGCCATACTTAAACCGCTCATCTACCTCTTTCCAATCAAAATAAGACTTGTCCCCCAGCCCTACTTTTCCCTTGAAGCACTCCCCTCCCCAGCTCCCTGTCTCTGCTGCCTTTCTGAAGCCCTCCTGAAGGACTTGCCCATTTTCCTGCCCTCTCCTCCACTGACACCCAGACTCTGCCACTTTCTTATTGCCAAGCCCACCATATGTTTCTGCCCCAGTCCTTGAGATCTCCAGAGGCTGTCCCTCCCTATGTCCTGGAGACCACAGAAGGCTACTAGGCTGGGAGGGGACAGCATAGGTGAAGTATCGGACTGGGGCTTGTTCCTGTTAAAGAACTGCTTTGATGGTCTGCACTGGCTCTTCTAGTCTTCTTCATACCTCAGGCTACTGGTTGCCTCCTGCCTGCCCCCAACTCCTCCTCTGTCCCTTTTCCTCCCCTTCCCTGCCCACCCTCACCTCTGTCCCAGGCCCCATCCTTCTGGGGTGATGCTGTTTCACCCCCAGCCTCCAGAGCCAGGGCACACTGGCACTTCATCTGAGTGAATGCCCTGTCTTCAGCGTGACTGCTTCCTTAGAGATGTAGACCCTTCTGCCCACCACCCAAGGGGCCACCCAAAAGACCATCATAGGTGACCCAAATAAATGTACTGAAAACCAACTCTTAGCTATCATTCCTTTTCCAGTACCTGCTATTCCAGAAAACACAGCCACCAGGATGCAACTGGTGACCCCCTTCCATCTCATATCAGCATGTCCTGTTGGCTTGAACTAAAAAATACAAGGAGAACCCAAACGCCTCTCTTTTCTGACGTTCATGTCTGTATTCCCAGCCACCAGCCTGGCTCTGGACGACACCAACAGTTCACAACCTGGCTCCTAGTTTCTACTTTTACCTCTTTCAGTTCTATCCTCCCAGAGCAACAAGAGTCACCTGACCACGCACTGACTAATACCTGGCAGGAAAAGTACCCCAAGGAGTTCCTCATCTCAAAAGCTTCTTGGTTATTCTTATTTATTATTTTTTCAGGTGAAACTTAGAAGTATGTTCTTTTTAAAACAAACAATTCGATGGTAAACCAATCCAACCTAGAGATCCATTTATTGAAATAATACCTCCTGTCTGTAGTAGGTATTCTGGATTAAGAATTAGGAAAGCCTGAGTTAACAATACTTTGTGTAAATGCAGTAAATAAAAAACCGGCTTTAGAAGTAGAAGCATGAGGAACTATATTTCTCTTTATCAAAAGATCAATTCCTTTACAAGTGGTCCAACCTGGTAGCTCCCACCTTGCCTTCCAGTTCCACAGGGGTGGGGTGGCGTCTGAACCTGTGGCAGGGCCTGATCTGGGGGCGGGGCCTGATCCAGGGCGGGGCATGAGCGGGTCAGGGGAGTCCGGAGTCTCTTACCTCCCTGAGGCAAGTGTAGATGGGGCACACGAGCACGCGGAAGGGCTCTCCTGTGCTGCTGCGCATGGTGCCAAACACCTCGCACAGGAAGGTGATGAAGCCCAGCCAGCGCTCCACGTCCTGCTGCTGCAGCTCCTCGCGCACCGTGAAGTCTTTCTGCGGAGGCACAAGAGACTGTGTCAACCTTGACGGACTGGGGAAGAAGGGGCCTGTTGAGACCTCTGTGCCCCAGAGCCTGGGGTTCAGGCAAACCGTGTTTCAGATGAGGCCGGGGGTGGGGGGGTGGGGGTGGGGGAAATCCCTGATCTTATTGAGGGAAGCAGGAACATCCCTGTCCTACTACCACGACATCTCTTCTTCAGATGCTTCCAGGCCAGGGACACAGCCTTCCCTCCTCTGGGCAATGTGAGTGAGTATTGACGTCATCACCTGCTTCACTGAGGTGCGCTAGCCTTGCCTTGATGGCTCCAGCACTGAGGACGGGGTGATACCCTTCCCAGATTCGTCACTTCCCCCATTCCACTCTGCTTGACTGAACTCTGCCTCGGCTCACCCCAAATCAGCCTTCTCCATAGGACAGGGTAAGGGGAACGTGGTTTGCCTGCATGGGTCAGCAGTTGGCCACAGAGGCCCATCTTAGCTCCAGCTCAGGCTAGACACTCTACTCCCCCCAGAAGGATGGTAGGGGATGCTGACACGTACCAGGCTAGACACTCTACGCCCCCCAGAAGGATGGTAGGGGATGCTGACACGTATACTCATTCATTCATCCGTGCTGCTTAAGAATAGGATTGCACTGTGTGCCAGACACTGGAGGAGGGGCTGGGATAGGGTGTGCTCACTCTTGGCTGTAGTACAAGAGAAGTGGTATTAAAACTGTCAGAGGGTTCCAGGAAAGGGACTTGGGAGAGATAGAAGTCAGGGTTCTCTGCGGAATTCTCACAAGTATCAAGGAGAGCCAAACTCACTGAGAAAGAATGCTAGGGGCTGGGGACAAGTGGGTGCAGGGAGTCATTTAATGGGCAGTTTTAGGCTGGCAAGAAAAACGCTTGGGAGATTGGTGTATATCACTGTGAGGATAGTCAACATTGCTGAACTGTACACTGAGAAATGGTCAAAATGGTAAACTTTAGGCTTTTTGTTACCAAAAGCCACCACTCACACAACTTACTTGAATGCATGTTTCAGCCAACAAAATTTATGACTCAACTCTAAGGAAATCATGGTATAGAAGGGTGGGAAGGGAAAACTGAAACGGAAACCAGACAGGCTTATGAAGCTAAAATAACTAATTGTCATTTTGGCTATAAGAGTGAGTCAAAAGCTAGAAATAATCCCTGGAAGACAGGATATTTAACTTTTTAACAAATGAATTTATTAAAATTTTTTTTTTTGGAGATAGTGTCTGAATGTTGTTGTTTAGGCTGGTTTTGAACTTTGGCTGAAGCCATCAGCATGCTGAACGTTCTGAGTGCCGGGATTGAGGTGCCTGTCTCCACATCTGGCTGATAATTTGATTTTTAACTGTAACTTAAATGATAATTTCATACTAGTAGTTACTTAATAACCTGATATTAAGTTATGACTAGTAAATACTTGTGGGAAGGGGACAAAAAATTATATAGCATACAGAGTTTCCTAATTCAGACCATAAGGGTTCATAGATTATTGCTCCCCTAAGTTTGATAATCAGAGAAATATGTTAAAGTATGCCATTAAAAGTATTAAAATTAAACTCTAGCAACCACTAGCAGAACAAAAAACAAAATATGCAAAATAAATGAATGGATAAAAATAGTCTTGGGCAAACAAACATTAAAGTAGTAGTGAAATCAAAGTATCCTTTGATAGCATTTTTTTAGAAATTATAGGATTATTAATATAGGTAAAATATTATTCATACTAAGTAGATAGTATATAATGCTATCTACTGAACAGTATAGACTCAAAATATTTAGGAAGTTATTTATTTTTTTAGAAAGTTATTGATACATAAGAAAAAATAAGAATTATATTGTGATAGGAAGCACCAACTATTACTGATTTAATGGACAAAAATTAATTAGATGACTTAAACAATATATTGGTGAGTGAGCCAACCTGGGGCTGCCGGATCCTGAATGGGATCACTCAGACCACAGGCCCAGGGAGTGAGCGAGACGGCCCAGGGCCTGCGGGATCCTGACTAGACCTGGAGCGCAGGCCAGGAGAGTGAGTGAGATGACCCGGGGCTGCGGGATCCTGAAGAGACCCAGAGCACAGGCCCAGAGAGTGAGTGAGATGACCCAGGCCCGTGGATCCTCATTCGACCCAGGCTGCAGGCCCAGCACGGAGCCCTTCAGCAGAACTCCCTGCAAAGAGGCTAGAGGCAACACCCACCCAGCTGATTCAGGAGCAGAACATCGTCCCAGAGAGACACAAAGGGATCAACTCTAACACCTGCAGCAGAAAGAAGTGGAGCACAGCAGCCAGATCCAAACAACACCCACCTGGAGGAATCCGAACTTCATAGATCCGGACCTGGTGCTAAGGTAATAACTCTATCTAAGCTCTACACCAAAGATCAGAAGACAATGGTATACAAAATGACAAAGAGAAGGAAGGAAATGCAGTCTCAGGCCCTGAGTCCACTCAGTACAAATGCAGAAGACACTAGCACTGAGGAAACTGGAAATCACACACCAGATATCTCTGAAATAATAGTGTTGACAGTAAAGAATCAACTGTAGAAAGGTATAGAAGAAATCAGATCAGAAATAATTTCGGAACTAAAAAATGTAGTGGTAACTCTAATCAAAGAAGTACTAAGTGCTTCTAAAGAA